TTGATATGAATAATTTAGACATATATGTACATAAAAACAGTTTTTTAAAAAATTTCATCCAATTTTTTGAAAAAATGGAAGTACCCTTCTGACCCTTCTAAAACCATTAAAGAGCAAGACTAATTCCAGTAACCCCGTAATTCCGGCTCCAAATATCAAACTCAAGGATAAATTCAAAAATGTGAATAAATGATAGTTTAAAAAACTAAAAAATACACGCTTTTATTGTAGATCAAAATGAAATGAAAAAAAAGGGGGTGTAGTTTAAAAAAATTAAAAACCCGCTTTTATAATTTAATCAAAAATAAAAAATAAAAAAATAATTCTTAATGCAAGAATAAAATGATTAAAGAAAAAAAATAATGTCATTATGGTAAAAGCGTGTGGCGTGCTTTGAACTACATTTTTACACTAACTCAGCATTCGGAATAGAACTAGTAAAAAATTATAATAATTGATATAGAGCACCTCACGCTTTTACCTCAATGACATTAATTTCCTAGTTTATTTTTATTTTAAAAAGAAATTTTTTTACTTTTAGTTTTGATTCACTATAAAAGCTTGTTTTTTAGTTTCTTTTTAAAAACTATAACTTATTCCTCTTCGAGATCACTTAAGACTTCTGAAAAAGCATGATAGAAAATGCTTAATTTTTATGTGAATTTTATTCCCAGCTAATAGGAGCTTTAAGAGCAATTTTTTCTCGTTATAACAAATGTTTGAAAATTAATTTCATTGTTGCTAAAAGCAGACATGAAGGGTGATTCGAATAAACGTTCTATATTACATATGTGACTTTTGTATATTATTCTATTCTTTAACAAAGGGTTAGATTATTTTTAATCCAATTTCTTTTCCTATACTATCACCTTTATGGTCAATTTTAACAAATTTCATGTTGTTTTTTATTTTTAAATATTAATAATGCATCTGATTCGGAATATTTCTAAAGCTCTTTCAGATCGTATGTAGTGTGTAAGGGATTTTTATTTTTATAAAACGTTATTATCGCATTATATCACATTTATCAAAAAACTTCATTGTTATTGTTATTATTATTACATAACATAAAAACTTTTTTTTTTAAAAAATTTCACCACTTTTTGCAGCTTTCATAATGTATTATTTTGAATAAAAAATCGGAGTATTTATCGAAGACTGTTTCATATTTAAAGGAAAATACTCTCACAAATTGGGAAGTTATTCAAAAAATAACTTCAACAATGAAGCAATTATGAAAATGAAATTAGTATGTCTGAATTTGACAAATAATTACCCGGTCTGATTTTCAAATGTGATCAGAATTTTCCTTGAAAGTTATTTCAATATTTAATGTAGCTTTACATGAACAGTTGTATTTATATACGTTAGATATTTATTCCTTTCTGACGAAAGATAAAAATGAAGCCTAATTCTAGAAAAAGTAAGCATAAAATAACCTACAACAATACTCGAAATCTCATTGATTAAAAACTCATTTACTTCTTTAAGTTTTTGAGAATGTGACTAAGAGAAATATTTTGTAAAAATACGTTTCTTAAAAAATCTTAATTTTGTTTGTATTAGCCACTAATAATTAACATACTTATGTAAGGAATATAAAAGTATGATCGGCGTCTTAATATAGCTTGATAAAAGATCAAAGATTAAATAAAATATTTAGTATTAATAATAAAATAAAAGAAAGTGCATCAAAAATTATTATACTCCTTAATTTTTAGAGGTAAATCATGCATATTACCTTAAAATTCTCAGATTTTATCAATTTTTTTTATTTAACATCAGACGAACTTTGAATCAAAAATTTATTTTTATTGAAATTGTGTCGTAAGAATATGGCAACATTAACAATAAAATACATTATTGCAATATACTGAAAAAAACAGATTACGAAATATTTCAACCATTATTCTAAATTCACGCAAACGGAATAAATGTAGGTACGCGCCATAAGAAACATGAAATTATACTGACTATATAAAGAATTATCCTTAATTCTAGAAGTTATTAAATATGAACAAAAAATCTTTTGGCAATGATATTCCCTAATTTTTCCTTTAAAACAAAATAGTATTAGTTGTAAAAATTTCTTTAAAATACTTTCAAAATACAGTGTAAAGTAAAAAGAACCGTGCCAATTTTATATATACAATATAGAAGCAATTATACCTAATTCATTGAATTTATTATATACATTCAGCTTGAACGTCAATCACTTCAAAACACATTCGATTTCTTTGTTTTACATTTGTTTTTCCTGTTAATCATTTTAGTTTTATTTCGATTTGCAATTCACAAGCATCTTTGTGTTTGACTTCGTCCTTCTGGAAATTCCCACAAGTTGTGTTGAAATTTATTTATTTTTCTATCTATCTCTCTGTTGTTTGCATCATTACTAATGAAATGTTTTGATTTAGCAAACAATATTAAAAATTTTTTTCTTTAAATCAAGATTAACTCAATTTTTATAAAAACAGATCCTTCTTATTATTTGTATAAAATTATATTAAAGCAGGTTACAGATTGCCAATGTAATAAGAGCATAACTCCCCTTTTTTGGATCACTTTTCAAGATGAAGATTTTTCGCGATGGTATACTTTGATGTGTCTTTTTGCATCCTTCCCTCAGTCTCTTGCTATATTTTTATTTTCAATAAAGCTCATTCACTGAGTTTCATAGCTTTAATGGCTTATAAATGTGTTTAGTGCTGAAATTTCGACACACTTTTTTCGAAAAATCGGCTCCAGTGGCTTAAGGGTAGCGTGCCCGCTTCCAAAGCCTGCGGGTTCAACCCCGCCTGGAGTCGATTGATTTTCTGGATGCGAAACCGAGTCACGCATGTCATATGATTATGTGGCATATAAAAGATCTCTTGAGTATCCATTTGGCTCTGGAACTCCGGCGAAATTAAATTGTGGGAATATTTAGCCTCCGACAAGAGTTTGGATTGAATAAAATTCAAACTTCACAATTTGGTAGTGGAAGCCACCATTAGATGGCGCTATCAATAGAATGGCTTCCCCTCTTGGTACTTACCATGTCTGTAAATGTTTAGTTGCTAACATGTAGCTCATTGGGGAAAAAAACTTTTTTCCTAAATCATTGACACTACAGTTATCACTTTTTTTTTCCCTCTGTTTTGTTGGTTCTTTTCGACGCAAGACACCATCTGAGATTTTAAAATTATATTCCCTGTTTTATTTTATGATTAGTTAATAAGCTCCTGAAGGTGCGAAAAACAGCACATCATTATAGACCATTTCGACAAAAACGAAATACATTATTCCGATTTTTAGATTAGTTAGTTTAATGGTAAAAGAAACTTACACAACCCCCCAATCCCCTTTGCATTTATAAAATTTCATAATTAAAAATTGCTAGTTCAATTATTAATAGTTTTAAATTTAAATATTATTTAAATATTAATTCAATTTTGATGATTTTTAATAACAGTTTAAATAAAGGCAATTGTAAACATTGTGCATATTTAGTTTTTGTCTGACGCTTAAAATCTAACTATACAATCAACTAGATACGTACGTAATTTATAATATACAAATCAATGTAATTTAATATAAATTTGAGATAAATATTTATGAATTTAATAATAAAAATTATTTATTATGTAATTAATGAATAAAAAAACACTTATTATAAAAAAAATTTTTAAATAAATTAAAATATAAAATAACAGTTTTTTAAACACTGAACCAGTAAAAAAAACATTTATTATAAAAGAAATAATAAACAGAAAAATAACCATAATTTTTGTAAAAGATTGCATGATTTTTATGAATTAAAGGCTGATATTATTATAATTCTAAATATAAAAGGATTTATTTTTTATATTGAAGAATCTCATTATCATGCAAAAAAAAACAATATTTTCAACATTTTTACGCTGATGAAACAAATAGTTAATGCTTTGCCTATTTTCAATGTTTCAATAGAATTTAATTGTATAATCGAAAAAGAATCCAAGCACTATATTAATTGATCAATAATTTTGCTAACTTAAGAATTTTATATTTTAATCTTCTGGTATAAGTGTGTATTATTAATACTATTACTTTTGTATATACTGAGTTAAGAATAACATTAATTAATCAGGAGATTAAAGGTTACAGTCATATAGATGAAAGACTTCAATTTAATTTGAAAATAATCTGAAGAACGTTTATTTGACACTTTTGTGTGTGTAGACTCTAATTTCATGTTCAATCAAAAGATAAAAATAACGTTTGAAATTTCTTACTTTCACCTTCAAATGATACATTTCGTGCTAAAAAATCTCTCTTCGTAGAATCATCTTGAAAATAATCTGTGCGGGGTTTGCTTTGAGCAATAGTTTCTTTTTCATCTTGGACAGTTTCGCATTGTCCATTGTGAATTATGATTGACACAAAGCAACTGATACAAAAATGAAAAATAACATTTCGAATCTATTTTTTATCAAAGAAAACTACAATGCTTTTTTTCTTATTGTGGTTATATGACTACTCTGTTCTTACCAGACTAGATTTTTCTGTGAAATTGTGTTTATCTCCAGCTGCTATTATCAATTACTTATCGAATGCGTCTCAAAGGCAAATATATGTTTTATGAGGGTTTTTTTATTTCTTACTTTTTATTCTTTCGCTTTCCCGCCAATTTTTTTCCCATCTGCGGCCCAACGAGATTTATACATTATATATATAACAAGTATACATAAAAAAAAATTAAGTCAATTGCCACTTAGGTCAACAAAGAAAAATTGGATATTAGTTACTTTTTATTAAATAGTTATAATTAACATAAATATGTATATACATATGACAGAATCAAAATATTAGGTGGCAAAACAGAAAGCGATTTTCCTCGCAATTTTTCCTTTTTGAAGAAAGGGTGTTGGATTATTTTTGTTTGTTTGTGTTACTATTTATATTCATTAATTAAATATAATTATTCTAATAAAATGGTATATATAGTAAAAAAGAAATCACATTCTTAGAAATTATGCCATCCCAGGTGGGATTCAGCCCACAATCTTCGGATTAAAGGTCCAACTCGCTATCCATTGCGCTGCAGGGACGCAACGAACGATTTTCATTTATATACATGTTGTTGTGGTATTACTTTTTTGACTATTTTTTCTTTTGAAA